CATACAACATCTTCTCTGTGTTCCTTGGCCGAAAGCAGACATAACTGATGCTACAACTGTGCCAAACTAAAACCAAAATGAACTGAGACTTTGAAAATGTACTGGTAGAGATCAGGGGAACACAAATTTACAGCAAACAACATAGTGAGGAGACTAATTAAAGGATTAACTTTTCATAGTCTCTGCATGATCACAGGTTATATTTTTAAGTTACTGCAGAATTATTACCTTGGAATATTTCTTTCATGTAAAAGAATGCTTTCTTCCTACCATTCTATTAAAAGCTTATTAATATTGCTTGTAAATTATTTAAATTCCCCAGAGACTAATTGCATTACTCAAGCCAGTGGAGAGCATCTAAAGATAGTTTCACAAAAAGGAAAAGCATTAGTTAAAATAACTGGTCCATATACTAATTAGTGAGACTCTTCAGTACTCACAGGACCTTACCTTTGGTGTTTTGGGCAAGGATAATCTAAGTTGATCATGAAAACACTTGACATTAGGAAGAACTTATCATCAAGCTCATGTAAGCACTGTTATAGAACTCAATTATGTTTTGTTAAATTTGGAAAAATATTTTTAGTAAATGTTTAGTGCTTATATCATACAATTCAAATTGTTGGTACATTTCCAAAAAACAAAATAAACAAGTTTATTTTCTTAAAAATAAACCCTCAGAATCCATCTCACATCAGACCCGGCACCTTCCAGGTACCCAGATGTTTTAGCCTCCTCCACCTTCCCCATCCTTTCATGTATACCCAAATGTTTTAGCCTCCTCCACCTTCCCCATCCTTTCACATATACCCAGACGTTTTAGCCTCCTCCACCTTCACTTATCCTTCCATGAATACCCAGACGTTTTAGCCTCCTCCACCTTCACTTATCCTTTCACTTGCTTTTCTTTCAAGACACTGTTTTAGAACCCATAAACAATAATTTCTTGCACTTTGAAGAAATGTAAAGGGAATCGGAAACATGTCTTCCACATTTTCATATTTTTCAGAAGAAATACATAAATCTTTCTTCTAGTGAGGATCCTTTCAGATAAATATGGGCAGGTACATTTAACTCACCAGCCCAGTCATCAGCTTTACCATTTCCTTCCTAATACTAATAACTTGTGCACAAGTTATCAAATGACTGATACGTGCTTTCCACATCCTTCACATATTACTAATGAGGGCAAAAAATAGATCTTGGGAGAGAAAAAGATTTTACTTTTTTATGTATAAAGTATACATACATTATCAAGAAACATTGTATTCAAAACCTGACATGGAATTGTAATCCCTTTATACCATTATTTAATATTTTTATTATTAATTTACTTTATTGTTATTATAAAGGTGATCTACAGAAGGATTACAATTACATTTTGTACAGTGTCTCCTGTTCCTTCATTCTCTCCCAGTCCTTCCACCCATCTCTACCCATGAGTTATATAGTTCACTTTGATCAGTGTCCAGTGAGCTCCACTACTGCATTTTTCCATCCTTTCTTCCCTCGAGTTCTGTACCCTCCCGCAACACTTCCAAAGATATATAGTTGAATACACTATACTAATGTCTCTTGTTTCCATATCTTGGAGTTTGTCTCAGTATGTATATTATTCTATATAAATAAGAAGAGGTACTTAGGCATTGAGCTTTTGTGTTTCTCTCATAAGAGTATCCTCTTTTGGTCTCACTATGTATGAATATCTAGAAACCTGCATAATTGATCATATCCCAGTGTATTTTAGATCTAATTGCTGCATACCATAGAGAACACATGCTGTTTGTCTCTGTGAGCTTGGCTTAATACTTTTTTCAAAGCATACACACTATACAGCATATGTGTGCATAGATAGTGAGTGAATAAGCAATGTATTTATGATGCTAATATTTAATGAGTTAGCAGCTTTAGAATTATTTTAGATAGCTCTTTCAAAGCATGCTCTATGACAATGAAAAAGTTTGAGAAACACTGCCCTGACTCAAAACTCCCCAGCCTGCATGTCTCCAATGGGTGACAGATATATGGAGGCTGATCACTTATACTCTAAGCATGGCTACAAGTAGCTACATTCTTCATCTTTTGCCATCCAAATACAGTTTTCTATGGCTGCCACAGGAAAAATCACCCTGGAAAAATGAATCTGCATGCTTTCTTGGGACAACTAGACTTATCAGTTGAACATCTCTTTATCTCAGTCTTTTTTCTGTCCTACACCTCTGTGTTGCCACTTATCTTTGTGCCTTGCTTCAGGCTCCTTTTCTCTCCACACCAAAGTTACATTTCTGTACCTTACTGAGCCCAATATGTTACACTAAATAATTTCTACTTCATTGCCTGGAAAACAAAAAGGAAATTGTGATCTTTGAGAAAGGGACAAGATTAGGTTTGTTAGGAAGATAACAGATAGATAAAAAGATAAATTAAATTGGGCATGAAAAGAGGTAGAGGGGCAACTTTTCTGGAACTCTACCCAGGAAACAATCTTCCTTAAAATCTTGCTATGGCCAGGTGCCAGTGGCTCACACCTGTAAACCTAACTACTCAGGAATCTGAGATCAAAGGATCCAGGTTCAAAGCCAGCCCGGGAAGGAAAGTCTTTGAGACTCTTATCTCCAGTTAACCACCAAGAAAAAAAAAAAAAAACAGAAGTGGCATTGTGGCTTATCCCTGGAGCTGAAGAGCTCAGGGATAAGGCCTAGGCCCAGAGTTCAAGCCCCACGACGGACCCCCCCCCCAAAAAAAAGAGGTGAGGTGAATTAAACAGTATGGAAAAGCTGAATGAGACAAAGTAAAAAAAGAAAAAGAAAAAGGTCAAGGGAAAGATTGGTACTTACCAATAGTGAGAGGGAAGGAAAATACCTTAATGAATTAGAAAAATATAGAAAGTATGTTTGTAAAGAGAAGAGAAAAACAAAGCCTGAGAGGCAGAACAGATGATTTAGAATGAAAAACATGAGCACATTTGTAAGCTAAAGGGAAACAATGGAGGAGAAGACATGGGAGATAGATAAAAGGCTAAATTAACTGATAGACTTAGAATTCCACGGAGTGATAATGGAATGGTAACCAGGAACATGGAAGAAAACTTCATCATGTTGCCCAACCAAGAGGTTTACCTCCTACCAGCCATACTATGTGCCAGAGTACACATTCCCCAGGGGAACATACTTCACGTAGCTCTACACTGGTTTCTTATGGAATATGAATAACTGAAATAACTATAAAAACCTTCCTAATGAAAGGTTTATTACAACTGAGGCTTCTAACTAGAATAATGTTTGCTATAGTTCTAAAATTAATTTGTCAATTAATATTCACTGAAGAGAATTTGAACAGGTAGAAGGAAAATGGTACTGATACAGTGAAAATGAAGACAGTCTTGGTAGGGACACTACAAGAATATAGTAAGAATAATATGAAAAGTGGTGTGTGTCCTTTGGGAATAAAAACCAATGGCATATAAAGAAAGGGTTTTGAAAGTTAGATAAGGGAATTCATATTCGGTTTAATATACAGGGAAAATCAATGTTAAGTTAATCTTGTGATTAATATGATGAAAGCATTATTTATAGAAAACTACTCTTTTAGTGGCATTTAATTTATATGGAATAGGAGCAAGTCAGAAAGGTTACTTCCTTACTGAAACAGATGACCTCAGTGAAGACATTAGACTACAATACGGAGACCTGCTTATTATATAATAAGTGGATGAACAAGTGAATTATGAAAAAAAGTGAATAGACAATATTTGGCCATTTTCATGTCCATGAGAAGAGCAAGGTTGATTCAGATAGTTCCCAGATTTTAAGGATTGAATATGAGGGTACAGAAGCACCATAAATACGGGGAGACACTTGTAAGAGAAATTTCTTCACAGACATTTTAAAGGTGGAAAAAGTTTAATTGTTCAATAGAAATTTTAAATATGAAAACTTGCCTTTGTATAACATTGTTGTAAACATTAAAAGTAATTTATATTTCCAGGCACTGGTGGCTCACACCTATAATTCTAGCTACTAAGGAGGCTTAGATGTAAGGATCATGGCTCAAAGATAACCCAGTTGGGAAAGTCTCTGAGACTCTTATCTCCAATTTATTACCAGAAAATCAGAAGTACAGCTGTGCCTCAAAGTGGTAGAGTGCTAGCTTTGAGTGAAAAAGCTCAGGGACAGTGCCCAGGCCCTAAGTTCAAACCTCACAACAACAACAACAATTTATATTAAATGTATAATAAATGCTGATATGTTTTTCCCCCAGGTAAAATTTTTTTAAATGATACCAGTCTAGGCTATACTGAAGTCTGACTTAATGACAGCCACATCCAAAACCAATTCAAACAAAGATCCCTGTGAATTTAAGTGTTGTAATTCCTATTTTATGGAAAAGAAAATTATTAGGAATATTTTAAAGGGATAGGCAGACTAGTAACAGATTCTAATAAACTTAATTGACTTAAAGAATAACTAAAAGCTTCCAATGTTAATTTATCCATGACAACCAACCAAAGCAGCAACAAAATAATGTAAGACAGCAGAAAAGGCCAAGGTAAAAGATAATGCAGATCCGAAGTATAATACTTAACCATACTAGCTTACGTATAATACTTAACCACACTAACTTTAACCACTGACTGTCAAATTAATATCTAATGATAAAGCAGCTTTTTCCAAACTGTGATCTCCACATAAAAATCAAGGTATTTAATTTCTACTCTGCAAGAGGGAACAGTGGCTGATGCTTGTAATCCTAACTACTTGGGAGGCTGAGAACTGAGATGGTGGCTAGAGGCCAGCCCTAAGCTAGCCCAAGCTAGCAAAACTGAGAAATTTTTACCTACAAAAACCAGAAGTGGAGGTGTGATTCAAGTAGTAGAGCCTTGAATGAAAAAGCCAAGGACGAGAGACCTTGAGGCCCTCTGTCCAAGCCCCAGTAGCATCACAAAAATAAATTGAAAAAAAGATTTTATATCCTCATGAAACAGTACATCTAATTCTTACCGTTAATAACTGGTGTGTAAACAACAATCCCAACCAAGTTCGGGTCAGATACTGTTGTGTCCAGAATAAGGCCCCCAATGCTGAAAGAAATAATATCATATAGTTTATGGAGGAAGAATGAAAAAGTAATTGAAGTCATTCTGTATCTATAAATACTTTGGCTTTATAAAATAGAATATTCAATCATTTCGAAAATAGAGCTGGGCGCCGGTGGCTCATGCCTGTAATCCTAGCTACTCAGGAGGCTGAGATCTGAGGATCACGGTTCAAAGCCCGGGCAGGAAAGTCTGTGATACTCTTATCTCCAATAAACCACTAGAAAACTGGAAGTGGCGCTGTGGCTCAAGCAGTAGAGTGCTCGCTTTGAGCTGAAGAGTGCAGGGACATCGCCCAGGCCCAGAGTTCAAGCCCCATGGCCAACCAAAAATAAAAATAAATAAATAAATAAAGTAGAAAGGAAAATATTAAAAGTAAAAAATCAATATTAACACTAAAAGGTTAGAAATTAAAACCTGGCATAAACTAAAGCTCCAAATTTCAGGACTCTGATCTCTAAGTCTTGCTGCTGGAAAAAAGAAAAAGCATATGCTTTTTAAGTACATTTAAAGTTTATATGCATTAAAATGTCCGGAAGGACTCATAAGAAATTACTAACCATGTCTGCTTCCAGGGAGTCAGACTGCCAGGGGACTGATGCACATTGTATACCTTCCTGTGCTTGTTATTTTTTAAACCAAGTCATATATTATTCTTCTAATTTAAAAATAACTTTAAAAGACTACTTTCATATTTGAAGGAGTCAAAGCATTACAAGGATAGTTTTTATTGGGTTAAAAAATTATATATACAGGGGCAGCAGAAAAAAATGGGGGAAAGCAAAGGAAGGGGTGACATTGTCCAAAAAAAAGAAATGTACTCATTATTTGACTTATACAGTGGTAACCCCTCTTAATAATAAACCCCACCTTAATAATAACAATAAAGTTATATTTAAAAACTACATATAGCTGGGCACCCATAGCTCATGCCTCTAATCCTAACTATTCAGTGACTGAGATTTGAGGATCACAGTTCAAAGCTAGTCCAGAAAGTCTATAAGAGTCTTACCTCCAATTAACCAATAAAAGCCCAAAAGTGGAGTTGTGACTCTAGAAATAGAGTACTGGCCTTGAGCAAAGAAGCAAGGACAGCATCCAGGCCCTGAGTTCAAGCCTTAGGACCGGCACAAAAATAAACAAAAAGTTACATATAGGTAGGATGTAGCTTATCATTGGTAAATTCAAATAGTTAAGTTGTAGCCACAGAAAGAGCTGAACTTAAAAAGCCTACAAAATACTATAGATACTTTTACTACAGAGTTAGTGGCTCATTCTCAATATCTCAATGGAACTTGGAGAATTTAAGTTTACAAAGTGTTTATAATTGGTTAACTTTCATCTGTTTATAAAACACTGCCAGTGCCAGTTTTCCCTGGGATCCTGTTGCTTAAATCCTTCAGAAAATGCAATCACATTACAGTAAAATGAACCACATGCTGACACAGAATGGGACTGGTTGTCACAGTATCAGAACAAATGTGCTTACAACTACCTCATAGTAAACATCAGTAAATTGATAGTTCTTTATAATTTTAATTCTTGAGTAGTAGTAATGAATCCTGTCATAACGTACTAAACTGTGGGAGTTCTCATTAAAAAGGTATACTTAAAGGTTAAAAAATAATATTTAAGATCTAATTTTAAATGTATACATTTCTAGCACAAACTACTTTAGAATCAGAGAATAAGTCTCACTGCCAGAACACTTATTAAAACACATTTAAAAATATTTTTGTTACACTATATGACTGTTTTGGGAGATGAGGGTGGGGGATGAGAAAGATGGAGAATAAATAACATGAAAGTACACAGTATGTATACGAGATTCCACAAGGAATCCCACTGGAAGCTGTTGAACAATGGGAGTTGGGAAGATGGGGAAAGAAAAAGCAATAGAGGTTACTCTGATTTAAAGATAATATATGCACCTGTGAAATAACATGGTGAATCTCCTTGGCACCATTAATATACACTATAAAAAAAAAAGGTAACTGATAAGAAAGTAAAATAGCCGGGTGCTGGTGTCTCATGCCTATAATCCTGGCTACTCAGGAAGCTGAGATCTGAGGATCACAGTTCAAAGCCAGCCCAGGCAGAAGAGTCCCTGTGGGAGTTGTATCTCCAATTAACCACTCAAAAACTGGAAGAGGCACTGTGACTCAAAGTGGTAGAGCACTAGCCTTGAACAAAAGAGTTCAGGCCCTGAGGTTAAGCCCCATGACTGACAGAGAAAAAAAAGTAAAAATAGACTTTTTGAGAGGAGATCATAGAGATGAGGGAGGGTGAATGAACAAGGTAATTGATCAGTGTACTTTACATACATAAATGAAAATAAAAACAATGAAACGTTGAAATTTTTTGAAGAGGATGGGGATAATGGGGAGACAAGATTGGTGGGGTGCATTGTGTCTTTCTGTGGTAGTATTATAATGAAATTTTCTTTGTACTACTCATATATGTTGACAACTTGTTTATATTTGTTTCCAAGATAATAAAACTTATAGGAAAAAATTTAAAAGTATAAACAAAAAGAACATAAAAATGTAGTTTCATCATTTAGTTATACTATATGTGTGTATATATGTGTATTGTATTATACTATATATGTACACAGTGTAACTGTGTGTATATACCATATATGTGTATATGTATATATGCTGGTATGCTATAGCCTTTCAGATACTTACTTATATATCTTATTTATTTAAGTTGACAAATAAGAACTACATATATATATATAAAGTTTTGAAATATATACATATATATATATACATACACATTTAGAATGGCTAAATAAAATTAATTCACATATTATATCATATAATTATCACTCAACCTGTGGTAAGAACACTTAAAATCTGTCTTAGAAAATTTTAAGACTACAATACATTCTTTTTTTTTACAATACATTCTTATTAATTATATATACCATATTGTACAACAGACCTCCAGAATTTAGTGCTCCTATCTAAAACTTTCTTCACTTTTACCATCCTCATAACTATACTCTCACACATTTTTAAATTCTTTTTAAAAAGCAAAACTGAGTCAAGCTGTAAAAGTAGTTTTATTTTTATTAAATATTTTTAAATATTATTTTATTATTGGAAAAGGAAGGGTATCACAAAGCTTATCATGAACCAGTAGTCCTTAGCCTCACTCCCAGATCCTTGTCAGTATTAAGAATTCTTTTCGGGCTGGGAAGGTGGCTCAGTGGTACAGCGCTTGCCTTGCATACCTGAGGCCCTGGGTTCGATTCCTCAGCACCACAAAAGCAAGAAGAAAAAAGCCGGAAGTGGCACTGTGGCTCAAGTGGTAGAGCGCTAGCCTTGAGCTGAAGAGCTGAGGGACAGCGCTCAGGCCCAGAGTTCAGGCCCCATGACCGGACCCCAAAAAAAAAGAATTTTTTTCAACTTCTCTAGCTGTTTCTTCTGGTGTTTAATTCTATGTTTCTAAATAACATGCTTAAACTTCTATTTCTATTTTTAATTTTAGACATTTTTCTAATGACCTCCTACTATAGCAGATGAGGATTATCCTACTTTGGTTCCATCCCTACTTTGGTTCCATCACAAATCCTTTCTTCCCCTATCCTGCCAATTGGGTTATACTTTATGGTGAAATATATAGGGTTGATTTTATGCATATATGAAAAGGGAACAAGGATTTTTATTGTAACAATGGAATCATTACTCACCACTTACATACACAGTACGTTAGATATTCTCACATGTACTTGTTTGTTTTGTCTTGAATTAATTTCACTTTTTAAAGTCTTTATTCCTAATTCATCAACTGTATAACTCAGTTACACAGACTCAAAAGTAATGAATCAATTCTACATTTGTTCATTCTTAGAGAGCCCTTTCCTTATGCTCATTGTCTTTCTGACAAATTTGATGGTGGTCTCTAGACCTTAGGTACAGCTGTCCTGTTGAATCTTCCCTGAATGTTGGATCTTGGTCTCTATATTACCAAATCCCAGGATCCTGTTGCCTGAATTCTCCCCTGAAAATGAACCATATGCTAGCACAAAATGGAACTCCTCATTCCTGTGTCAGCCTCTTTCTTGATTTGGTCCTCACTGTGTGGTCACACTCTTTCTCCACTGTAAATGAAACAGCACAGGGGAAGTAAATTCTAGGGGATCTTATTTTTCTGATTTGATATTGCAACTGCAGTTAATATCCAAAATCATTTCCCTTAGAATTTTGAAGAAATCAATTTTGAAATTGTATGAGTCTTTATTCTGATTCTAAGTCTTTTAAAGGTAACTTCTTATTTCTCTGGAAGCTCTTGTGATTTGTGATGACATGCGTTAGTTTCATTTCCTCACACTTTTTTTTCTTTCAGTTAGCTACATACCATCCCCTTGGTCCCCTCATATACTAATTCATTATGTTGAAATGTCTTTAGTGGGCCTTTTCTAGGAAATCCACATTCTTCTGTCCTGGAGAATTTTCTCTTATCATGTCTTTGATAATTTTCTCTGCTTATCAGTTACTTCCTATTCCCCCCCCCAATTTCTTTTTTATTCTAATGTCCAGGAAAGTTCTCCACTCTTATCTTTCAGCTTTTCTACTGTTTGGTTTTTTGATATTTATATATTTTTTTAAAACCCTAATTATAATATTCTGTCCTTACAGTATGGATGCCATAGTTTCTTTGTCTGAGCACAGTGATAACAGGGCTTTGAGCATCCCTTTCCGGCATCCCTACCCTGTCTTCCATGTTAGAGGCCTTCCAAAGTCTGGTGATCCTATATGTGTGCTCCACTTCAAAGAGCTCTGTGGAGCACCTGTGGGGCTCAGTGTGATCATGGGTAAAACCTATCATCAAGTGGACCAGACATCAATGAGGTAGGTTGGCAGCTAGGTCACTAAAGGAGCTATACGGTCAGCATCTGCCAGTTTTCCCCCCAGAGACCAACTATCTAACTTTTGCCTGGGAATCTATGCCTGACTATAAGTGTTCTATGAACAAAGAGAAGGAAGTGGGATGGGTTCTCGCTATTTAGCATAGCCACCTTGATTTTCATACAATGCTTAACTCACATGCCCTTCCCTGAACATGCCCATCAAGTGTTTCTGAATCACTTTTCTAAGAGAGGGGCATTCATCTGGGTGCTTAAGGTAGAGAAGGGCTGTGGAACCTAACTGCTCCTTATTCATTTTGGCTTTCAGAAAATTTTAATGTCTCTAACTTTTGGGCCTGTCTGGGTTTCTGGGGTTCAGATCAGCTTGCTTCTATAAGATAGTTGATTATTAGCTGTTCTTTCTGCTTGTTCAGTTAGCAACCATCCATCTAATTCCTACCTTTCTAATTGTTTTAATCTCTCACCTGCTGTCTTCTCTGCTCCCCCGTCTGTCTTATGGTTTTATACCATTTTTATCCTTTTGCTGTCATTTTAGTAGTTTCAGGGAAGAAGATAGACATGTCTTAATTTGCCATGTTTTACAGGAAATTCATACTCTTCCTAGGTTATTTTTTATCAAGAATATACTGAACATCTTTCCATAGTAATGAAGATGTTATTTTAATGTTATTTAATGTTATTTTAAATGGCTAATATTACATTTATGAGTATACTATGACTTATTTAACCAACACTTGGTTACTGAAAAAGTTGTTCTATATTTTTTCTTTCTCTCTCTCTCTCTTTTTTTTTTGTCGGTTGTGGGGCCTGAACTCTGGGCTCTTCAGCTCAAGGCTAGCGCTCTATCACTTGAGCCACAGCGCCACTTCTGGCTTTTTTCTTTTTGCTTATGTGGTGCTGAGGAATCGAACCCAGGGGGCATGCAAGGCAAGCACTCTACCACTGAGCCACCTTCCCAGCCCAAGTTGTTCTATATTTTTGTTATTGAAAACTCCACTGTAATGAGGATGCTCACAACTAGATCATGTGCATGCATCCTTAACTATACTCAAATCCTGTCAGAGTGCTAGATGTGGATATTTACATTCTTCAAGTTTCTGATACTTACCTGAGCAACTTAATGGCTCTATTGAGTTAAAACACATATAGAAAGTACTTAAGCTGTTTTTGCTGAAAAGCACTCATGTTTTTGGTTGGTTGTGGGGCTTGAACTCTCAGCTCTTCAACTCAAGGCAAGCACTCTATCACTTGAGCCACAGTCCCACTTCCAGCTCTCACTTTTAACTGAGGCCTACAAATTCCAAAGCATAATTAAAAACAAGATAAATGCTTGATCTCCCTGTGTCCTTACCAGTGTCCTGCCAGTCACCTTGCAGCTACCTTAGAATTCAGGAAGGACAGGACTAATAGAGAAGCATCCTGTAACTGAGAAGAAGCTCTCCCCACTGCCAGGCAGCAATGACTTTCTTATTGTTGCCAGGCTCTGCCTGACCAGTCCTGAGCTAAGGAGCAACTTGGGCCACTCTTCTGATGACAGACCACACCTGTGAGTGGCACTGTTTAATCATTATGCATATGTCCCATCTCCTGCTCCCCAATCTTCCTTTAAACCTAAAGCTCATGTAGTAGCCTGAAGATGGGCTGAAGTGCTCACTTTTCCTCTTCCTTGTGCTGCACTAATAAGCCTCCCATGTCTGTCCTTCCCCATCACGTGTCTCTTTATTTGTTGTTTTGGGACAAGTAGCTGGATCTGACAGTCAAAGGAGTTTCAGGTTTTTCTGACTTCAATAACTCCTGATACTTACACATTATTATCTGAGAAGATTATAAATTGGCTCTGTACAATAGTTCATCCAAGAAATAAAATCAGGCAGCTTGTTTAAAACATGCATACCTGTAAATAGAGTGCACATACACATTTAATACTAACCTACTTATAAGCATGGCTGTTATGACAGGCTCCCAGCCTGAATGGAGGACTGTCCTTGTGGCTGGATGCTTGGCAGCTATTATAATCCAGATAGGAGTTAGAGCCAAGAAAAGGACACCGACTAGTGGAGAAACATAGTAATAGGTCTCTGAAATGCAAAAAAAGACATTTCACTCCTTTCAGAGAAGCAAATTATCAAGAATTTAATATAACAGAAGAGATGATTCAAATATATTACTTTTTTATAAACTCAAATTTAGAACTATAAATAAGGTAAAAAGTAAGTATCTGAAAACTAATGTATTAATCAAAAATATTTATTATGAAACAGCTATATAGCATACATGAAACACCAATAATAGTATAATAAGACAAGTAAAAAAGTTACCATTGAACAGACTTCCAAGACTTTGTTATACTTTTCTGTGAGATGCCTTCCTTGATCATAATTATTCCTTTCCATTCTTATTACACTTACCTGTACAGAAAGCCTTCATGCTTCATTGATTTTGAGCTTTGCATTTGTTTTGTAAATATGATTCAGGCCTTTCTAGACAAAAATTTAAATGTGCTTCCAGAACTGGATGAGATGTGTGTGTGTGTGTGTGTGTGTGTGTGTGTGTGTGTGTGTTCACACACGAATGTGTATAAGAACAGTTTTCAGGTACTAGACAGAAGGCACTGAAAAACCATGGTTCCTGGAAAATGAGGAAAGAAGGGCAAGAAATGAGAGAACCTTAACTAACAGATTCTATTTACTTTCCATAGTTCACTTAGCTCATACGTTTTCAAGTACTTTTTTTTAAGCTAGAAATCCATACCTTTATTCATACAATTAAACATTACATTTATGAGGACAAAGAAGTTGTTAATAAATCAAGTGTAGGCACATGTTCAAACTATAACCAGACACTAAAATCATGGTTTTGAATATTATTTAACGACAACGAGAGATGCTTAGAAAAGACAAAAAGCAGAATATGGAATTCTCCTTACAGTTAAGCCTTAGTTCATTCGTTCACATATCAACATGAAAATGGTTGTTAGTAAATTCAGATTGTGGGATTACAGCAAATTTATTTCATATGTTTTGTGGTTCCATATGCCACTTTCGTGGATGTGTTACTTTTTTTTAATTTATTTTATTTTATTTGTGAACATACTGTACAGAGGGGTTACAATTACATGGGCACGTTTTCAAGTACTTAAAGCATTCTTATAATTATAAGAAATTAAACTTATAAATAGTAACTTAAGTTTTTGTAAATATTCAATTAATATATACAATTTGATGCGATTTCTGTTTAACAATCACAACAATAAGTAAATTACTTAATTTATTCTTGGAATCAGACCCCTAACATGTAACTTAGTGGGCTAAGTGACAAGTAGATAAATATCTAGTGCCTTTTTAGTACAAAATTGTTAATTCCATGAATTTCATTCAGAATTATTTTAGGCTTAATTCCAAATCCCCTTTAGTTGGAAGTTGCAAGTTCTTTATCTAAACAGTAATATCATCCAGAGTATTTTTAAGGATATTATTTATCACCAAGATTTCAAGCAGGATCTTTCTGGAATCATCTTGATAATGCTAATATTTATTGAAACTAGTAAGGACTGTCAGAACTTAGAGACAGAGTTGCTCTCATGACCTTGCAGCTTCCCAATCGCAGGTTTCAGTAGAATGTTAATTCATGTTCTACTGCGTCACAGAACTCTGCAGCCCTTACCCAGCATGCATGTTTGATCACAGTTCATATTGTCTTAAAGATCTTCTCATATAGAACTAAGATTTTTGAACAAGATAGAAAATTATATTTTTTCAATTTTTTCCATCAGATAGAGACAAGCAGTTATTTAAAATAATATCAAAACAAGTCTCCCTGTGGCTCCATCTGGATTTACAATCATGCATTCAAGATGATTTTAACAAAAAAGTCATTTTGCATTTCCCTTCATTTAAAGAATTAATGCTACAGTTACAAGATTTTATCCATTACTTTTTAGAAAAAAAAATCTTGGCATTGGTGGCGTATGCCTGTAACCCTAGCTACTCAGGAGGCTGATATATGAATATCAGAGTTTGAAAGACTCTTTTCTCCAATTAACTTTTTTTAAAAAGCTGGAGCTGTGGCTCCAGTGGTAGAATGCTAGCTTTGAGCAAAAAAGCTCAGGGATGGCACTTGGGCCCTGAGTTTAAGCCCCAAGACTGACAAAATAAAAAATAAATAAAAAAGATTAAAAGAACATTGATTCATTGGATGGGTGCCCAGTTCTCTTTATGAACCATTAGAAAAGGATAAATAATATCCCAATAATGGAGCATCCCTACTTGTAAAACAAGAAAATTTGTCAAATGGATCTCTTTAGGACCAAAGAGAACTGAGCATTGGACAAACTAAACACAAATGAAAAGAACTCTTTTGCCAGATAGGCTTTTCTTAATATTTCAGCTTCAGGACCACACAGGGACACCATGCTAACCACCTTCAACATTTCATGTCCAGAAGAATATCTGAGGCTAAGAGAGTACCCCATCCCTACCTGGATCCCAGCATCACTGTCCTATACTTTCAAAGTGGAGGACAAATTTCTCAAGAAAAAAACTAAAAGAATTGAGTGGGTAGTTGCACAAAAAGTTAAACAAAGTTACCACCTAGTGATTCTCTTCTTACATGTATGTCCAAAAGAATGGAAACCCTAAAGCCACATCAAAACTTGTACATGGGCTGGGCACTGGTGGCTCACAGAGGCTGGTAGCCTGTAATCCTAGCTACTTAGGAGGCTGAGATCTGAGAATTTTGGTTCAAAGCCAGCCTGAGCAGAAAAGCCCCCGTGAGAATCTTATCTCCAATTAACTACTCAAAAACCGGTAGTGGCACTGTGACTCAAATGGTAGAATGCTAGCCTTCAACACGAAGAGGCTCAGAGACAACACCCAACCCTAAGTTCAAACCCCACAACTGACAAAACAAACACGTGTACATGAATGTGCATAGCAGTATTCTTTATAATGGCTAAACAGTGGAAGCAACCTATGGCCAGGTGCCAGTGGCTCATACCTATAATCCCAGCTACATGGGAGGTGGAGATCAGGAAGATCACAGTTTGAGGCCATCCCAGAAAACAATCATCTAAGTCAATAAAGCCAGTTTAGTGGTACACACCTATGGTCCCAGCTACACATGACATATAGGTAGGAAGACTGTGGTCCAGATAGCTTGGATAAAAAGGCAAGATCCTGTTCAAAAAATGAAGTACAAAGGTACTGAGGACATGGTTCAAATGATGGAGTACCTGCCTAGCAAGTATGACACCCTGAGATCAACCAAAATACTGCTAAAAAAAAAAAGGGGGGGTGGGGAAAGAGCAACCTAAGTGTCTATCAAATGATGAATAGATAAAATATAGAGCCAGGTGTTGTGGCTCCTAACTACTCATGTTCAAGGCCAGCCTAAGCAAAATTTCACGAGATTCCCTCCTCTCAGCTAATGGCTGGGCATTATTGCTCACAGCTGTGGTGCCAGCTATGCAGGAGGCTAAAATCAGGAGGATATCAAATCCTGGCCAGCCTGAGTTCATGAGACTTCAGCTCATTAGAAGCTGAGTTTAATGGCATGTACTTGTCATCCTGCTACAGTGGGAAGCATAATTAGGAGTACAGAGGTCTAGACCAGGCCAGGCAAAAAGTAAGAGCCTGCTGGGCGCCAGTGGCTCACGCTTGTAATCCTAGCTACTCAGGAGGCTGAGATCTGACGATCACTGTTCAAAGCCAGCCTGGGCAGGAAAGTCCGTGAGACTCTTATCTCCAATAAACCACTAGAAAACCAGAAGTGGCACTGTGGCTCAAGCAGTATAGCGCTCACCTTGAGCTGAAGAGCACAGGGACAGCGCCCAAGCCCAGAGTTCAAGCCCCACGACCCACCAAGTAAAAAAAAACAAAACAAAACAGTGAGAGCCTATCTCAAAACCAATCACAGAATAAAGGACTGGAAGCGTGGCTCAAGTAGTAGAGCCCTTGACTATCAAAGCCCTGAGTTCAAACCTCAGTACCATCAAAAGTTAAAATAAAATGAAACAAAAAATAGCATATCCCGAAAAGTGTGATTTAGTCACATTATGAATCCATATAACAGGGTATTATTCAGCACTTAATAAAATGCAGTCCTGAGTCATACAAATGATCATTGAAAACATTATGCTAAGTAAAAGAAGCCAGTTATAAAAGGTCACATATCACATGATTCCATTTATATGAAAAGTCCAGAACAAAAACATCTAAAGGGAGAAGAGAGCAAAGGGTAGCTGTGCGGAGCTGGGTGAGGGGTGGGGCGAGGATTCCTGATAAAAGGTCTGGGGTTCCTTTAGGAGAGGATGAATTATTCTGAAATTAGATCGTGGTGATGGTTGCCCAATCTTTTAGGAATATAACAAAAACCACTGAATTATCCACTTTAGAAGGATTGCACAGTGTGGGACTATACACAACTTACAAAAATTCTAACAATGGAAAAAATCAAATGGGGAAGGCTAAAAGCACATGTCAAAGACAAAGAACATATTTGCACAAGGAAATGAGACAATACGAACAGTATAGGAGGTTAACACTGGGGAAGCTAAGCAGCAGGCACGTAGGGAGCATACCTGGTTTTATTTTTGCAAGTATTCTAGAAGTACAAAATGATCTACAAAGTATGAAAATCATCACAAAGCAAAAACTTTCAAATGATTTGTTGTAAATCTGTTGTGTTTCTACTTAGTAGAAATGTCATACAATTAAAGTACTTGTAGAAAATCACTAATGACATGCATAATTAGAAGAGAAAATAGTCTATTAAATACCATCCATGAATTTCTGTATTTATAGTTTAAAATGTAACATAATGCCTTTCTTCTACATGAGATATGTGCAATAGAGACTGGTTTAAATAACCTTGTATTAAAAATCTCAATCTATCATCATGGTCATTAGGGTAGGTTCAATAATGGCCTTATTACGGAAGGCTCATGAACAATGCTTTCCATGGCAAAGTGACTTGTGGGTGGGATTATGATGTAATTTTCAATGCGGATATTATCTGGATTATGCAGGTGAGCCCTAAATACAATCACAGGTGTACTGCTAAGGGGAGCAGATGAGGCTTG